ATCTGGGGCGACACGTATGCATTGCAGTAGCGATGTCATATCTGGTTATAACATGTCATATAGCCTATAACAAGCTCTCACACGTTCATGTTTTAACATTTTGGGAGGAGTGCAATTTACATATGTGGTTTTATAAACCAGATGCATTCACACTTGTCCAGTTTCATTTGGAATGCGCATATATCTATGCCTCGTTTATTTTTTATACATTTCTAAATTGCGTACTCACTACACACATTTCAATGCCTTTTGAAATACACACAATACACTTTTTAAAGTGCACTTAATTGTGTTAAGAAACAGACATGAAAGTGTGCAATCTTTAAGTACACTTAAGTAGTCTATTATTACCATAATATCATAATGTCAGTGAAAAAAAAATACTTTTAAGATTCGAGCATAGACAACATTTGGAAAGTTACGACACAAAGTTCAAAGCAAAGGGAGATATTTTCTTTGACAAAAATCGCTTTTTAAGGATTACAACAAACGGCTGGTAGGGACTACAATGAGCTTCTTCACGGGTTAGTGACATCACTAAACTTAACATTTACATAAACCCTGCACCCGGGAATGCAATTTATAGATTATATAATTTACTATGCTAATCAATTACTAGAAGATAAAGCCAGTTAAATCCACACCAGCAACATAAATTCATCAACTAACCATTCAGAAATGTCCTGTTTTATTCTTCATGTTGTCATTTCTTGAGTCTCTCCATCTTTGTCCGACTCCTGTTTGAACATGCTAAAAGTTTTAGAAATTTTCAGTGTCTGTGTGAGGTATTCGGGGTTGCTAACACACAAGCTCTTGAAGCTCCGCCCTCTGTGCCGGGAGCAGCAGCTCATTTGCATTTAAAGGGACACACAAAAACGGCACGTTTTTGCTCACACTCAAAGAGTGACAATTTTAACACGCTATAAAAAATATCCGTGGGGTATTTTGAGCTAAAACTTTAGAAACACACTCTGGGGACATCAGAGACTATTTTACATCTTGTGAAAAGGGCATTATAGGACCCCTTTAAGATTTTCTTAATTGACATTGTCAAAGGATTCTCTTGACTACCCGTCCCCTGAGAAAGTCCGAAGAAGCCTCCTTTGAGCCCTTGAGCACACATCCCTCAGCACACGATAGTCTTACTAGAGAACCATAAGCGTCATCCCCACTGGACTTCGCATTCTCACTGCTCGCCCGCTCACGGCACAGCTCATTTCACTCACTCAGTCTCGCGGGCCTGAATGATTGATGGTTGGGGGAAAGACTTGGCGCACCTTCACGGCCCATCCCAGGCTGTAAAGCAGCAAGCACCACCATGTTAGACCCTGACAGCTGCACTGCTTAATGGGGAAGGATATAGACTGGGGAACAGGAGGCTGCTGGTCCAAGCCCCTATGGGTCCCAGTTGCTATAATAGATGAATGAATAGATGAAGCCTGTTTTCTTGAATGGCTGATGACAAAATAAAAATGCCACGAGGGGAATCAAGTTGTTTGGGCACATGTGCTCCCTATATACTCAGAAATCAATATTCATGCAGACATCTTTTAGAATTTCATTTGCGTGGTTAATAGAGGGACCACATGTTGGCGAGATGATTGATAATCTAATAATGATAATAATTGAGTAACATAATAATTGAAAATCTGAGACGTTTGGCCACTGTTTAAAGGATTAATTCAATAAAATGAAACAAACAACAAATATACTTGATATTTTAAGCAGTATCAAAAAAACAGTATCAAATATACATTATTTTAATTAGGCTTTTTTTCCTATTCTTTATGATATTACGCTCATCATGTAATCATGTCAAATAGCTTAATACAGGGCAATTTTGATTTCATGTTTACTTAAAAATGCTATCGCTGTCTTACTCTCAAGAATGTTAGCTTAATCAAATTTATATAAAAGAGGGGTATGTGACACGTAATCTTTGCAACCTTTAAACTAAATTAGTTATAATTTCGACCACTTCTCAGGGCATTTAAACAAGATAATTATAAGCGTCTTATAAAAGTGATGGTAAAAAGAATCGACACAGGGACACTTTCTCTGAAGTCCTATGACTCACAGCGAGAGACGATGGGAAATTGAACACCTTCACTTCGCACTCACAGTAAGGCACTGCAGTGGCCGTTCACTACAGTTCCACAAGAAAGCGGGGAAAAAAGGAGAGGATAACTCAAATGGATATATAACATAAATGGACCTCATCAAACCTCTGCAGAACTGGGCTCAGCCCGCTAGACACATTTTTATGATAGTGGTGTAATCAAAATCAGGTTTGCTGGAGGGAGCAAAAAGCAGATGACTCAGACGGCAACAAACAGGGAGTGAGTTAACGTTTTATGATTGGATGATCTACACCTCCGCATTGTCTCGAGTCTGCGGTGATGGCAGTGCTCATTGTAGCTCTGCTGAGATAAGGTGACAGAGCTTTTGAAAGCAAATATGTGCACCGTGAGCAGTGCGCATGCAACATAACCAAAAATATCTATTTTCACTGCCATATTAAGCACCACTATTACTATTACTTGCTCATACCTTGAACAAACCAATAACAGCATTACATTTAGCCACATCAAGGAGAGATGTGCTAGTACATTTTTTTTTTTTTTTTTTTTTTGGTCTGTTTATTAAATAGGGATGGGTCATTAAATACGAATGAAAATCCGTATAAAAAATACTAATGTGATTATAGCAATATAGTTCATTTACATCTATTTTGCCTGCAATCATAACAGGTAGTTATAGATGCCCCCTGTTGTTTTTTTGTTGTTGTTGTTTTTTTTTACATTTTACATTTGACAAACTCTCTGCATGTCCCTGTATACATTACACTGATTTTACACAAGTATCGGATCGGAACCCGGGATCGGCAAATACTCAATATTCATTGACTCGGTTTGGGGGCAAAAAAAAAAAAACTTGATCGGGACATCCCTAATTTTAAAGTGTTAAGGGTTTATACTCCTTTTAATATTTGATGGGATCATTTCAGCTACTAAGGACAATATTTACAAGTTATATTAAGTTTATTTTACATCAATGTTGATTGTCATAATCAAAGGCAAATCACACAGATAATTAATGTTTAATTTTTTATTTCTTTCTTTATTTGAGAACATAATCTATCTGTAGGCATATCTGTGAATGCATATATTGTACTCACTAAACCATTAAACTGATTCTCTGACGACAGCCCTGAAGCAGTACATTTTTTTATTTATTAAAAATACTAGTTTAACAGGGCAACGCTCAACACCACAACCACTCAGAACACTTTAGCAACTCATTTGAATTCTTCATGCAAACAACCACCCACAACTTAGCATTGTGACAGCGAGTTTTTTCAACCACTCACACTTTCTTCGAAAAACATAAAAATGTGTTGGTCTTATTGTCTTCCGTTAATTCTAGATCATTTAGCGAAGCTGATATGCCAAAAATAGAACAAAAAGGTCACATTTACAGCTCTTTTGATTACAGCAATTACTTCATTTCATTAAGGGAAATTTCAAGCCTTATCAACCACATCTCTCTCGCACACACGCGCACACACACACACACACTCTTTGGGGTGGCAGGTAATTCGAGCTCTAGTGGCAGGTGCTTCAGGAAGGCAAGCTACGCTGTAAAAAATGTCAATCTGCTAATATCTATTATGGCAAGCGAGGGTGGATTAGAGCCGGAGAGAGAGGGCATTTAGCAGCAAGAACAGAGGAACACAGCGTGCCTCAGGACGAGAACAGCCTGTCTAACGCAGTGACCCCCGGAGGGATTTGTTTGGGGGAAAAGAAGAAAGAAAAAAACTGGGCTACCGAGCTACACAACCCTGAAACAATTAGAGATCTGTCTGCCTCTGAATTTGCATGACAAGCAGCGTTCTGTTCCCTGCGGTCAGACATGGGCAATTTCCCCGCCAGTTATTGAATCAGGAAGCACAGAGCAGAAAAAAAGAGAAAATTAAAACAGAGAAAGAGGAAAAATGCTAGTTGCTGCCGTTGATCTAAAAAGCATGAATGCTGTGTAGTAAATGTCGTAGTTCAAATGAGGAAGTAGCACGAGGCAGTTGCTCTCCTTACATAGGTTGAGTGTTTAAAAAAAAATACATGCAATACGCTTGAACAAAGATTTGCAGTGAGGCAATCACATTGCTTCTGGGCACCAAACTTACATTACAATTTTCTACCTTTGATTGAAAGTTTTGCTAAATTATTTGGGATAAAAAAAAATGATGTGACTTTTTTTTTTTTTTTTACTTTGGCAATAATTCGAAACTCAACCACATTTGCATTGCAATTTTCTGCCCTGCAATCACTTGCAGTTGCAATATTTATTGAAAGTTTATGACTTTATGAGGTTTTACAGAAACTAAACAGAGCACAGTCTCATTTTGAGTTCTGCCTTCTGAAAATCAAAAGAAAATAAACCATTTTATCTTTTGATCATATTAATATTAAAGCAGAAGATAAAAAAAAGCAATCACAGAACCTATCATTCTTTGATATTTGGTACTTTTTGGGTCAAGAACTAAGTTCCTAGACATATGTAGTTGATCCTTTAGTCCTAACTCCTAACCCTATCCTAACCCTAAACCTAACCCTACCCATAACCTAACCCTTAAAATCAGAGGTGGGTTAGGTGAATTAACACCTAAACCTGATTGTAAGACTAAACAACATAAACCGTAAACTTGTCACTCAAATCTGATTGGTTGATTGGAATGTTGTTCCAGGATCAACTAAGCTGTTCATCCAGGAACATGTTGTACTTGGTTAAATCATGTTCACCACCAAATAGGGGTTGTGTGAAGCCCTTTTAAAGGGTAGTGTAAATGACAGTGAAAAAACCCCCGTAGATTTTGGACTTTGGAGTACAATTCTAAGTTTTCAAAGACATCAAAAAACAGAAAAACTTTCCAATGTCTACTAGCATGAAAACAACGGTGTACTTTCAGACACTGAAACATTTCTAAGAGATAAAACACTCACTTATGGTGCAGTTGGTGGTGAAGCGGGGGTCATAGGTCGCTGTCTCCATGTCGCCGGGCTGGTTGTAGCTGGAAGAAATCCTGAAGGGTTTGGTCCGAGCTCCCAAGCTGAGGTGTACCACTGCCCAGCTGAAAAGAAGAGAGAGAACCAGCAAGATCAGCAGCAGAACCCAGCAGCAGGGCTGACGCAGGGCCCGCACTGGGCTGTAGGAGGTCATGGTAGCCCCTGGGAGACCGTCCCCAGTTTGGGCCAGTTCAAAAGTCTCTGGAGATCTTACAGAGGGAGACGTCTGGCCGTCTGACACCAAACCAGACCCCTCTGCCATTTTAGGGTCATCCTCTGCTGCCGTATCACACATTCCCTAAATCTTCCAGATATCCACGCTGCTTATGAAAGCTCTGCCAGTTGAAATCAATGGGCAAGTACAGTACGTGTTTATGTGTGTATTGCACAGATGCTGTCTCCACTGGATGATACCTGTGGAAGAATGCACGGATGCACAGTTGCTCTGTGCGTTTTTAACCAAACTATCTCTCATAAGGAAGTCAATGACCTAGCTAATTTTATTAAGCAAATTGCTTAGATTTCAATTTGCCAGTGCCCAGTGACCAATGATTTTAGTCTCCTCCCTCTCTCTTCTCCCTCTCCTGGGCTTTTCTTTCTCCCAGACCTGTAACCTGTCTGTTGTGTTGTTGTTTCGCATCTCACTGCGGGATTTGCATTGATGTCTGATTCGCTCCAACAACAGGAGTCGAGACCCATGACTAAGTGGGCGGTGATCCTCTAAACAAACACGCAGACAGCTAGCAATCATAGGGAAATGAAGACAGGCAGATCTCTGACAGACATAATGCACTCGGATACACTCGAGTTAAGATTATTGTTCCACATTTGAGTTTCCAACAATCCAGTGTTTGTATGACTGATTTCACATCATTAAAGTCAATGTGAATTGTCGTTTTAAACCACATTTACTTTCACAATATGTCATTTTAATGTGAAACATGTGCTATAAATCATGCTTAAAGTTTAATAACCCACATTTACTTCCATTATATGCATACATTGTATGCAAATTGTATTTGTTGTAGTTTCCATTCACCACTAGAGAGGTTGGCCCATAACGATTTCCACTTCCGAGAACCCTGCAAAGAGTCCATTGGTATTATCCAGTAGCCAAAGTCTATTCAAGGTTTCAAAGTTTTCAAGTCTCTGTGGAAAAATGATTAGCTCACAATAGGACCACAATAAGATAAAAAATAGTCTATTTGAAGTTGACTTTAAGTGCTGCTTTATCCTCTCAGGAACAGCATTAGAAGCAGGCCCGGCTCCAGCCTTGAGATGCAAGGGGGGCCAATTGACATTCCTGGAGCTGGAATGATTAAACGTTACTTTATTTTTTCCCCTTCACAGATTGTGTAACTTTATTTTTAAACAAAAGGAGCAGGTCTTAAAAGAAAATCTATAAACAAACAGTGCTCAACGCTAAGAAGTTTACTGGTTATACTTGCCCTGCCCTTTTCACTGTCCCCACCACAAACAAACAAACAAACAATAAATCAATACTTGAATAAATGGTATTTTAAGAAATAATGTTAAGACAAGTAAAGTCAGTAATAAAATAAGAACAAATGAACAAATTACAAGCAATAGCACACATAAATACAATATAATAAATGTAAAAAAAATGAATAAAACTGAACTCGGGTATGTCTAACAGTATTCCTGTATGAAATACTATAATGTATAAATTAAATACATAATAATCCTTATTAAAGCTAAAGAAGTTATTCAGTCAAGAGCATATTTGAGTTCTTTTGTCCTTTAAAGGGATAGTTGACTTTGAAATAAATTTTTGGTATGTTTTAGCTTACCTCAAGGGCATCCAAGATGTAAGTGTCCTTGTTTCCGCAGTAGTTTCAATTTTGATATTTTTAGGTCAAACCGTTCTTGTCTGTCAGTCATATAATGCAGGTCTATGGTCACCACCTCAAAGAGCATGCACAGAGAAGTCCAAATTAAACATGATTTAATGACTCGTAAATTTAAGTACACATTGATGGCCTAAGACACGAAACGAGCGGTTTGTGTGAGAAAACGAACAGTATTTATATCGTTTTTACCTCTTGTAACCACAGCGACGTCCAAGTGATCTGAGGGCGCGGGCGCTTCGGTCTGTGCGTTACAAGAGGTAAAAACGATATAAATACTGTTCGTTTTCTCACACAAACCGCTCGCTTCGTGTCTTAGGCCATCAGAGTCATTAAATCATGTTTAATTTGGACTTCTCTGTGCATGCTCTTTGAGGTGGTGACCATAGACCTGCATTATATGACTGACAGACAAGAACGGTTTGACCTAAAAATATCAAAATTAAAACTACTGCGGAAACAAAGACACCTACATCTTGGATGCCCTTGAGGTAAGCAAAAACATATCAAAAATTAATTTCAAAGTGAACTATCCCTTTAACATTAATGGCATTAGACAGCACCAGGTATATTAAGCTCCTGTCAAAGACCAAATGCATGGATCTGACACACATCAGATTTTCTCCCAACTGTGTACATTCATTAAGACTTTTTATTTTAACTCAGATAAGACTGTGCTTACGCAGATACTTGCCAAAACGGGCATTTTGATGTAATTTTGTATGTACTGTATTTGTCCATCACGATAAGACACAAAATATAACTCAGTTCGGTAATGGCGCGCTGACATTGGGCACTCTTTGTGTGCACGCTTAAGTGTGTATTCGCACAGAAAACGTTTGCTTCTTCTAATGCTTGAATGGTTTAAAATCATTTGAATGTTTGAATGTTTATGATGACCATGGTCAGGTTCTAATACTGGACCTGATTGGTGAATGTAATTTCACCAAGTACATCATGGTCCTGGATCAACATTCCAATCAACCAATCAGATTTGAAGGACACGTTTACAATTTATGTCAAGTTTAGGCTTACAACCAGGGTTAGGTGCTTCTAAATCAGTGTTATTCACACATAATTTCCCTCTGATTTTAGGGATTATCAACCCGATCTCACGACCAATTCATCCGAATTTGACGAGTGATTAAAAGATGGCTAATTCGTAACAATGCGTACGACCTCACTCGTACGAATTAGTACGATTTTTGCTAAATCGTACATATTTGACGAGTTGCCCAATTCGTATGAATTCGTACGAATGACCTACCCCTGACCCCGCCCCTAAACCTACCCATCACGTGGGTTTAGACAAATCGTACAAATTCGTACGAGTGAGGTCGTACGAATTCGTACGAATTAGCCATATTTTAATCACTCGTCAAATTCGGACGAATTGGTCGTGAGATAGCATTGGGATTATTTAATGGTAGGGTAGGTTAGGAGTATTGATAAGGTTAGGAATACATTTTCAGACAGGAATGTTGTTTCAAGGTCAACAAAATATGTTGTTCCAGTAACATGTCTTACTTGGAAAAATCCCAGTGACCTGGCCTGGTTAGAGGGTTCATGATCATAAGGGGGTTTTGCACCAGGTATAGGAACTCATAGGAACTAGTCACCAGGGCGGTCCCCCGAGAACTAAATGTCAGTAGTTCCGGCCAGTAGGAACTCTGAAGTGACGTAATCCGGCCGACAGCGGCATCATTTAAGCGACACAACAACTGGTGGATGAAGGACGCCGTGATCGGAGATGTGTTTTTGTTGTATGTCAATGGTTTTGCGATAACTGAGATCAAATGTAGTTATCTTTTTGAAAATGGCAGGTACTGGTGTTTCGTATGGCATGCGTTCGGCCAATCAACGTACAGTACATACTGTCACTGGTAGTTCCTGTTGTGCTGGGTTAGACCCTACTCTGAAGTAGGAGCTAATGTAGTCCCCCCAAAACTAAAAATGTTCCCAGTTCATGGGAACATCCCAAAAAGCAGGGACTTCCACCAATTGTTATACAAACTATGAAAATGTTCTTCCAGTGCAAAAGCCTGCACTATACTGATCCAGTTCTTGTGTTAAAGTCATTGACTTTTCAAGTTAACAACTCACTGGAGGGAAAATAACCCGTTTATAATCGCTTTTGTTGTTGTTGTTTTTTAATACACATGCAGCAATTTCAGGACTATGATGTTGTACGAAGCAAATTACTTATACAGCTTTGTAAAGTATAAATAAAAAAGGCATTAATGTAGTGAAGATTTGCAGTGACTGCTTGCTGAGATATGACTCGTTTGAAAAACGATTCCTTTGACTCAGAATCGACTCTTACTTTTGAAAGACAATAACTATATAGTGTGCACTTTCAGATTTAAACCTTTGCAGGATGTTTTCATTCACTTAGAGCTATGTTACTGTTCCTTACCTCAGATATCATGAGCAGAATAGCAGCAGTCAAATGAAACATTTGTATGGTATGATGATACTAATGTTATTTTCCTTATTTTAATGGCCTAGTTGTATTTTTTTAACACTAGCATTTTGAATGATCATAAATAAATAAATAAATAAATGATGAAGGTCCTGTGATTCACTGCTTTAATCGCTGGTTTGTTTTAAAAATATACCGTACATTCCCAGGTTGTCTTCCTGCCTCTTTGCAATGAAATCAAACCTACGCCCATGTTTAAATGTGAAAAAGTGAGAGGAGAACTGAACTTGTCATCAAAAGCTCTGCTTTTCATCATTGCTAATGTTGTTTTGTAGATCTAGAATAATGCATATTAATGTGCACCTATGCGTAATATATGCATTTGGAAAATGACTTCAATGCTTTCAGCAGTCAACCTTAACTTGCGTAAGACTGAGAAACACACGCTCACACAAACACAGCTGACTTACTGTAACATAAACTATGTTCAGGTACACACTTGCTTTTCATCTAACAAACCAGTCCTTAACTGCATGAAATAACGAGTTGCCATTTGTATAATTTCAAATGTAGCTCTATTTTAAGGTTAAATTGCCTCCTCTGGGAAGAAGGCCTACAGTCATATCTACATTAATTTCATTGGACAGCGTCATTAGATACACTGTATGATAATAAAATCATGCAGTACATGCTCATGGCATTGTTAATATACTGTATAATTGTGGTGCCGTCATTGCCGCTTTACAGAAACTCTTCACTGATAGTCTGTCTCCTG